TGACACTAGGAAGAACTATTGACTTCTCACCCAAACCTTTTCTCCCTGTTTCTTTCCCACCTTTACAAATGGCAACATTGTCCATCCAGGGGCTCAATTCAACACTGGGCTCAGCACTGACGTCTCTTTTCTTGTGCCTCAGGCCATCAGCAGACTTGAAGGCTCCTTTCAAGTGGCACACTGACTCTCCCACTCTTGCTCTGGTCCAGCCACTGCGGTCCTCAGGCCTCACCTGTATGCTGTAGCACCTTCCCAGCATCTCTTGGCTTCTTCCTTCCCACATCTATCTCTACGCAGAAGCTGGGTACCTCCTTATCGCAGCATCATAGTTATCTCACTGTGTTGTACTGGCTTCCTGGAAACCTCTACAGGTGTCCTATGACATTGAGCATAAAGCTGAACGCCTCTTGGTGATACCCCAAGCCTCTAAGACCATGCCATGCCAGCCTGACCCTTATGGGCCTTACTCCATGTATTCAGCCCTTACTACACCCTAGTAGTGCTGTCTCTCTCAAAGCTCAAACAACTCTGAGGAGGCTATGCCCTTCCTTCTGCCTGAACACATATTAGAAGGCCATGTCACCATACGGTCCCACTTCCCACATGTCATCGTAGCCTCCCATTTGGCATCCAAAACCCACCTCAAACGACCTGACACTCCGTCTAAATGGGATCTTGCGACCACTTCACTCTGTGCTATTTCCATCACTGTATTCACCGCTATCTAAAACGATCTTATTTATTTTTATGTGCTTATCACTCTTATCCAAAGAAAATACCAGTCCTTTTCACACTCTGAAGTTATCATGGCTTTATTGCTATTGTTATTGTTATTATTATTTTCTTGTTTTCTGATGCCTTATCTTGTTCACAGGTCTGTTTTCCTACCTCTTAGCACAGGACCAGGCATGTGGCAGGTGATTAAGAAATATTTATTGAAGGAACAAATGAATGAACGAGCTAAAAATGGGTCCATAGTGCAAAATCGGTGAGGAGAGAAAATGAATGTGGTATTAATCATTATTAACAGGAATACAGAATGCAGGCTGGGAGGATCCGGCCTGTAGAGACTAGATCATACCTGCATTATTGCCTTCGGTTCTAGAAGCCACATTGTCACTAGAATGAGCAGAATGAATAGGAAACTGACCAAAATGGCACGGAAACAGAAACCTAGGCCACCAGAGGCATTTAGCTTATAAAGATAAGAATTCATGGGAGGAATATTGCTGGCCTCTTTGACTACCTCAAGAGGAATTGAGAGAAGAAAAATTTGCTCTGGAGACCTAACACTAGAACACAGATCTATAGGTATTAGTTTCATAGACACAGATTTAAGTTACAGAAAAAAAAAATGACCTTTCGAGAAAATTCACAGCATGGGAAGGGGCTGTGTTTGAAGTGGTTGTTCCCCATCTAAGAGGGGATATAGTGGATAGCCACTTGTCAAAGGCATTGAGGAAGCAAGAGAGAGCTTCCAAGATTTCTTTCAAACAGGGGACATTTGGATTTATATGGTGCGTAGCGGCAGTAGCGGACCTTGGCATGAGTGCTGCAGTGGCCATGCACAGCCTCTCTGTTGGCTTGTGAGCCAAGCACCCTAGCAGCCAAGCACTGGACAACAGGTGCTTCTTCTCAACTAAAAAACCCAGCCATGTTCAAGTATAGTTGCAGTGTTGGACTTAACAATAAAGCAGCGGGCTTTGGGTTGCAGGGCATTCCATCTCTGAAAACTTTGCCACCACTGGTGTATAAGGACAAGATCAAAGCAACTTCTGGCCAATGAATTCTAGAATTTAGTTATCCTGCTACCCCAGTAGACTTAAGAGACCACCAAAACCAAGTCTACAAATTAAGCAGTGGAAAGACTAGCTGAGGTGTGTCTTACAGACCCAAAAGCATCCCACACATAACATTAACATGACCCTGGATTTGAAATCTACGTGTGATCCTTCAAAACACAGACTCAAATATCTGGACTGTTGAAAGATGGTTCATATTCCAGGGGAAGACAGCCAGCATTAGTATACCATAATCTCAGATGGTTCAGGCTTTCACTTCTGAAACTTTATCACTTCCTAAGTATAGAGCCTCAGAAAAGATATTAATTTTTCCCATCCCCCTTTGCCTCATTTCTAACAAATCCTTTTTTTCTCTTTCTTTCTTTCTTTTTCTTTCTTTCTTTCTTTCTTTCTTTCTTTCTTTCTTTCTTTCTTTCAGAAGGATCAGGCTGGGATCCTCCTGCCTCTGCCTTATAGAATGCTACAATTGTAAGTGTGTATGTTACCATGACCAGCTAAGGGCTTCATTGTTAAAACAGAGTAGGGAATAATTGGAACTCAAATGGCACAACCTAATAATTACTAACATGCAGCATTAAACACACGGTCATTTACTACACTAGTCCATGTTTGAAAAATCTGCATAGTAAAAAGTAAAACTAAAATGGGAGTTGCCAATACTATCTATCTCATATAATAATTGTGGGGCGAGGGCCAGCCAAATGGCTCAGCGGATTAAAGCACTTGCAAGCAGGCACAGGGGCAGGGGGATTCAATCCCTGGGTCTGCTGTGCCAGCCCCACCCCCAGGGCATGTTAAAACTGCCGTTGAGACTGGGCGTGGTGGCGCGCCCCTGTAATCCCAGCTCTTGGGAGGCTGTAAACAGAAGAATCACTACAAGTCCAATCTAGTAGTGCGACCCTGAACACCCTGTAGACCCTACACTAAAATATAGAAATAAATAAATAAAGTAATAATAGTGGGGCTTAAGGAAATGATCACCATCATTATTACAAGGAGTTTTCATCAATTCTGTTTATTTCCAAGACTGTGTGTCTGTCTTATTTAGTCACTCCAGTAGCCCTACAAAACATACAGTAACCATCTCCATTTGGCAGACGAGGAGACCAAACGAAGGCCAGTTAATTTACATGGCGCCTGGATGAAAGGTGATCAGGAGCCAGTTACTGGACTCCTCCAGCACAGCTGCCTTTTATTTCAAGACTAGCTCACTGTGTTCCACCTGCTTGCTATCTCCATGATTACAGTGTCCTTTATTCATCTAAGTCAGTGGTCTCCCAGCTCTTTTTTCAGCAGCAGAACTTTCAGAACACAACCTGACTCTGAACTCCTGTAGGTCAAACTGACAAAAGCTGAACAGCTCTGGCTGAAGTGGGGCCTGGGGACCAGCAACCTCTTTTTTGGTTTCGCTTTTTTGTTTGTTTTTGGGTGGGACTGGGGATTGAACTCAGGACCTTATGTTTGGCAGGGAAGCACTTATGCTGCTGAGCTATCTCTCTGGCCCCTAACTGGCCCTCTTGACCCCAGGAGGTTGCTAAAGTGCCTTGGGGTCTATGGGGCAGAAAGTGAAGGGCTCAGATCACAGCCAATAACAACAAACCCCACCCCACCCCGGAGTGCCACAAGGCATATACTAAGGGCAGCCTTATTTGCATAATGCATCTTTCATTTCCTTGTCTCTCAACACATTTGATCCTCATTATCAACTCTGAGGTGGACAAGGGAGGGCACATCATGCTCAATTTGCAGATGAGGAAATCAAGGCCAAATGGAGTTAAACAACTGGCCAAAGGTACGCCAGTTCAATTTTTGGCCAAGTACAGACTGGAAGCAGAGTCTGTCTCCATTAATTCAGTGTGACCTGGCAGAGAGGGTGCCATCTACTGGAAATTGCTACTGACCCTTGGTCCACAAAGTGGACAATCAGCTCTTTAGCTATTGAAAGCTAAGCACAGTGCAATCCCCACCCCCCTTCCCAAGGCCCTGTCCCAGAGCAAATGGCGACAGGAAGGGAAGAAGAGTCCAGTGCTACCTCAAGGTCTGACAGCAAGATTTTGGCTGTAGACAACCTATTCCCATTTGAGCCATGTCATGCTGAATACAGGGCAAGGAGACAAGAACAGCCAAACTGCCTTCTACTTTCAACTGCAGCAAGCAAATAGGCCCACACAGGCACAGTGGGTAGTGCAGACCTGGGCATCAGCTCCCCTTTGTTTTTCCTCTGAGCTCTCGCTATTCCTGAAACTAGAGGCAGCTGATAAATGTCCCCCACTCCCGAGCAGCTCTGAACTGAGCTGGAGCATGTGTTAGAGCAGACAACACTTAATTATCACTTAGTCTTTAATTAGCACTTAATTATTAACACTTAATACATCTGTAAAATGGGGACACTAATACCTGCTTCACAGAGACTCTAGGAGGATTAATTAATGTTTGTAACCCACTTTGAAGACGCAAAGCATTGAAGAAGTGCTCGACAGCGGCATTAATAATAGCAGCTGATTTACTTTCTTTTCCTAATGAGGTCCCTTTTCCCTCTCTGTTCATGCCTTGTAAACAGCTATCCCCAAGATTATCTGCTCAACTTTGCCCTGGTGGAGAAACACTAAGCTCTGTGCTTCCCAGATACAGGATTTCCCAACCAGGGAACAGGCTATTTACAGCCATCTTCCTGCACTTTAATTTTCTATTATGTCCTCTGAATATGTCAATGCCTTCTCAGTAAATATTTTGATGTGCGCTCTTGCAGTAGCTTCTGTGGAGGCTGAATGGGACAGCTGCTCCCTGTATTAGGGAATTCCAGATGTGGTTTAAAATCACCAGACTCATCTGTGTGAATGCCTACGCTTTGCGTGGGAGACAAGAAGGATCTCCGGGTTGCCTCTGGGAAAGGTCATGAGCTATCTAACCTCCAGCCGTGCTTAGGGTGCTTCTGCAAGACCCTTGCCCACATCCGAACTGCCTGTAGAAGGAGAAATGTCACCTTAGTGCTGGGGAAGAGGCAGCTTAGAATACAACCTTGATCTGGCCCTCTCCCTAGGGAACTTCAGGACCCTGGCCTTCTATAAAGACTGGACCTGAGTCCATGAGGGAGGAGGAAAAGAATAACCGGACTGAATATGGAGTCAGATCATTTCCTCTCAAGGTCAGGCTTCGTTTCCCTCCTCTCTGCTGCCAGCCAAATATAGGGATACTCACTCTTCTTGGAAGCCAAGTCCATAGTCTCTTGGAGTACCAGCTGCGGGGGCAGAGAGCTGCTCCATGGTGCTCCTGGGTTGCAGGGCCTCGGGCAGGTCTTGAACTTTTTTCCAGATTTCATGGCAAGTCTTATCTAGGCTATCTTGAGGGGTGTCCTGATGGATCCAGACAAATCTGGGGAACGGGCCCAGGGCAGAGGAACGCTTGGCCACCAGGGCCGAGGATGAAGAGAGCCCATTCCCACTGGCCATCCTTCTTTCGTTCTTGAAGCCTCTTTGTCCACCCAGGACTTGAGGACAGAGGGACCACCGACTACCGCTTCGCATTCACCAGAAAGGGTGCTGAGGACCTGCTGGGGGGGGGGTGGGATTCAGTTCTGTCTGGTTGTTGCTCCTGCCAGGTGGTTGCCTTCTGAGATCTTCTCTTGGTGTGGGAGTAAGGGGTGGGGGGTACCGTTCTTTTGGGGAGGGGGGCTTGTTTTGTTTTTATTTGCTCTTTCCTGCCTCTTGCCTCCCCTCCTCCGTAGAAGAAAATATTTAAAAGTCAACAAAACCCAGTAGCTTAGTAACCATGGAATCTCCAGGAGCTGAGGACTCAGGTGCCCTGGCAGGCAGAGTGACATCTGGGAGGCTGGAGGGAAGGACTGATTCTCCCGCGGTGCCTGACGCTCCCTCTTTGGGGGTCTGGGGCTCAGCCCATTTTCAGCCAAACCGCCGAGACACAGGGCTGGGCAATGTCTGGGCAGGGGTTCAGCTGGGGTAGGAACCCCCCATAAAGTTCTGACTGGTCCTTTCCAGGGAGCGCGCCTGCGCCGAGGGCCAACTGCCCCCGCTCACCCCTAGAGTCCCGGCTTTCGTGCTCGCCTCTACCCGCTTCCGTCTCCCCTCCCACCGCTGCTCTGTGTCCAGGAAAGCAATCTCCAAAGAACGGATGAGCCCGCAGCCCACACAGCCACACCCCTGCACCCCCTGGCAGATGGGGCCACCGCCCTGCCCTGCGCTGGTGTGAGATCCGCAGCGCCAAAGAACCCAGTCCTTAAAAACGCTCGGTCCTGGCAGAGCTAGCCAGGCGCTCTGGAGAGCTTTAACCACTATCCGTGCCAAGTAACTCCCAGCCCCTTGCCGTCTAGTGCTGGAATTCTTTCTGTGGGTTTCAAATGCAACGGCTCCACTAGGGGCGCGGGGCGCGGGGGTTCCGAGCCCAAGGCCCGCAGGTGGGGGTGGGGTAGGGCTGGCGGGAGCCCAGGGCGCTTTTCCCATGAGAAGTGAGACAAATTGGGCAAATCTCCGTGCCTGCTGGGTGGGGGTTACACCTTTATCAGTCCCATCTGAACGAACCCTAACGGCCACTCTGAGCTGACCTCGAGCTAAATCCTGAGTTCATACTCAGTCTCAATCAAGCTCACTGAAACAAGTATCGCTTTTCATACTCTCCTCACCTGACAGGAGGAAACTGAAACTCAGAATTATGAAAGACTGTCCAAGGCCCACTAAGAAGCCGGAAGTTGGGATTCAAGCTCCAAGACCTTAGGTCTGATGCTGTACCCTAAGCCACCAGACCCACACAGCAGGTCCTAGGCTTGGGGGACAGGAAGGTTCATGCGTGAAAAGATCTTTAAGTTAGCTTTTCGCCCAGCAAGACTCTTCCAGAGAAGCAGCTTTCTTCAGCTGAAAGGTGGCACAATGCCTCTCCTTGGGCTGCTGTCTGTGGGTGCTCCTGCTTGGATTCCCTGGGAAAGAGAGGAAAAGACAGAGAGAGAAAGAGGAGCAGAGGTGGGGCTGCCTGGTCCCAACACTGTCACCCCCAGAGGTGTGACTCTGACAGCCTTTCTCCTTGCTTCCCTTGGTATCCATGGAGCGGCTCTTCTGTGCCAGGTGAGTTACTGGGCAAAGGAGAACTGAGGGGGTGAGCTACAGTGGCAGGTTCTGTTCTCCTGGAGCCCACATTCCCATGGAGGGAGACAGTTCGCCAACCAACAATGCAGGTGAAAAAAGCAGTGATTACGGATGAAATCAAGGCTCTTGTGAAAAGTGACTAATGAAGTGAGGTGCTAGGGAGGGAGAGAGCCAACACCAGTGGTAGTCTAGGCCTGGATCTTTGAAGAGTCAATGTTTGAGATGAAATGGGAGAATGGGAGGAAATCCTTTTCTAAGAAATGGTTTTAAATTTTTACAATTCAACTTTTTTGGCACGTAGTAGGCTCACAATAGATATATGTTGTGCAGTTGCCTTGTTTGTTTTTGGTCTTTTTTGATTTTACCGTATTTTTTTGGTTGAACTGTTTTTTAGGGGAGGTTTATGTTTTGTTTTTGGTGCCAAGGACCGAACCCAGGGCTTCCAGCTTGCTAGGCAAGCATTCTACCACTGAGCCAAATCCCCAGCCCCTAGATATATGTTGTGAAGTCATGGTATATTATATGTAAAGTTCAAGCACACAGTAGGTGCCCAATATACAATCTTGCTCTTTACAGAGGGGCTGAGTTCTTAGAAATGTTGACTCTGAGTTTTGAAATCTGAGCTTCATTCCCCTTTGATTTTCATTATTAAATTGAAGATGTGCTCCTTTGGGGAAAATTCTGAGGACCTAGACTGAATAAAATTATAGTTAAGAATGTAGAAAACCTTTTAAGAAAGTGTATTTAAACGAAAAGTGATCATTTCTGATGAAATATTAATAGTTCTGAAAATGTCACTCAGTGTTTGTGCTGCTTGGCATTTGGTTGGCTAACACCCATGCTTAGAGCAGAGCACCGAAGACCCTGACAGCCCAGGCCGTAGGATTCTGGGAATCAGCCAGCTCACTCCTCCCACCTCCCTGCCTTAGCTGGAAACCAGGCGGTGGGGGCTAAGTTGAAAAAAAGTTGCAAAAATAAAGTAAGGATAGGGAACAAAAATAGAGGCAATATTTTAGGCACAGGAGAAAGGAGGCTCCTAGCAGATTCTGCAGAACTTATGCCTTGTACTTAGAAACTGTATAAAGCTACATCAGATATGGTTGCCACTATAGCTATATGGGGTCATTTCAATTGTATTTGAATGTAAATTAATTAAAAACTCAGCTCCTTCCTTGCACTAATCACATATACTTATATGTGCTTCATAACTATAAGTGCTTCATAACTATATATGCTGTCATATATAGTGGCTGTCACACAGGACAGCACAGGGACTCTGGAATCAGGCTACCTAGGCTCAGGTATAGAGTTCATCAAATGCTGAGTTTTCTGGTAATGTAGACTGAGCCAAGTCACTCTGTAGTTTGGGGTATTAGTTTGCTATACCTATCATAGCAAAGTACCACAGAATACCAGAGTTAACATGGAGAAATTTAGTTCCTCACTGTCTCAGAGGCTAGAAATTTAGGGTCCAAGTGCCATCAGGGTTTCCTTCTGAGGTATGGTACGTAGATGGGTCTGTTTTCCCTCTGTGTCTTCATATGGCTTCCCTGTCCTAATCTTCCCTTCTTAAAAGGTGACCAGTTGTATGGGATTAAGGCCTACGCTAATAGCTTCATTTTTATCTTAACCTCCTCTTTGAGGGCCTTATCTCCAAATATAGCCACATTCAGAAGGACTAGGGGTCCAGATATTAACATATAAATAGTTGCATATAATTCATCCTACCACCCTTGGTTTCCCCATCTATAAGACAGGAAGATAATAAAGAACACTTGCTTTGTAGAATTGTAGAAATTCCATCACTAAGTAATTGCTCAACACATAGTCATTGCTAGAACAACACTGAAGAGGCACATAAAAGTGCTACACCTTGGCCTGCTTGGTGATTACACGGAGATGTATGCCTTTGGAGTTTTTGAACAACAGCTTCTGCGCTATGTGGAGGGAGGGAGAATTTTAGCTGTCTGTTCTGGGGAAATTGTTCCGTGATAGACTCAAATCATCACATAAGCCTTTCCAAACGCTGCTTCTTTTTGAACACCTATCATGATCCACAACAGTGCAAGGCAGAAGGATTTGAGATGCAAAATGCCTCAATCCTAGAAAGAGTCACAGCCTAGTGCAGGAAGCAGTGTTCCAGTAAGCCCTTGGGGAAGATATGGTATGAACTGAGCTCATCTAGTCTTCATTCACATTGGTACATATTCCTCTGGCACAGGTATATATGTGTCCGGCACTGTTGCAGATGCTGAAGATAAAGTAGAAGACAGCTTTAGTCCCTGTCTTTTTTAGAGCCCAAAGAAATGTATTTGATGGTCACAGACACTGTTTCATCTATATAAATTATTTTGAGCTGGGAAACATTCTTTAATTTCCCCTTACTAGCCATGTAATCCTTGGTTAGCTCCTGTATAAAAAAGATAATAAAATACTGACCATGTATGGTTCTTTTGGGACAATTGAGCTAATACATTTAGAAGCTAGGCTGAGGGCTGGCCAAATAGCTCAGTGGATTAAAGTGCCTTCTTAGGCAGACACAGGGGCGGGAGGTTCAATCCGAGGCCTGCCCTGCTGGCCCTACCCCCAGGACATGCTGAGATGGCAATTGAGACTGGGCATGGTGGTGCACACCTGTCATCTCAGCTCTTGAGAGGCTGTAAAAAGGAGGATCACTACGAGTCCAGTCTACACAGTGAGACCCTGTACACCCTGTCCTAAATAGAAGTTAGGCTGACAGATCCTATCTCTCCAATGAATGTTGGCTCTCATGATGTAGGATTCTGGGATTCTTGCTTTCCTATCCAGAGCCAGGAAATCCTCAAGGGAGGCAATACTCCCGAGCTACTCTTCAGTCAAAGCCTTAACCCGCTTGTCTTGCATCTGCCCCACCAACATGGCAATGCTGAAAAACCCAGAAATGTGAATATGGCTCTTTGGTAATCTTCATAGGACCCAACTATTTGTTCTGCAGGCCCTGTTCTTCACCTAATTTCTTTTATTAAACACACCCACCTCTAACAATATAACTTATCAGCTATTAAAAAAATGTGAAGATGTTTGTCATTTTGCTTTTGAAAAATTTTGGTCATGAGTAATTTATTTAATTTATGGTAGGCTATGATTTCTCAGCAATCTTGGTGCCTACTTGAGGAATCTTGCACAGTGAGAAAAACTCCAACCTATAAATAATCAAATGTACTGAAATTTTTATGACTACTATATTCAACAGTTAATGAAGTTGACATAATGCTACATTTTGCATTTAATTAAATATTCACTGATTTCAGTGCTGTGGTTTTTCTTCTTTGTATTGTTAGACCAATAATACAGATTTCAGGACTCAAACTTTCCTGTAGGCCCCTAAAAGCCATAGAGACTCCCACTTCCATGCCAGTAATGTCCAGTGGGCAAAACTACCCAGAGGCATGGCGCATGTACAGGTAGACCCCAGGCAAATTTCTTAAGAGGCCAACTATCAGAGCTGGGGAATAGGAGTTGCAGCCACGTCCCTTGGGCCTGGCTTCCCAAGCAGGTACAGAGCAGCTAGCCACTTCCAAGACCTTGAAAGGGAACCTGATGAAAAGAAACCTGCTGTGCTCTGAAAGGAAAGCCACGACTTGGTGGTTTTTCTCTCCTGGCAACATCATCAGCAATCTCAGTCATTTCCAGTGAGGGGGCCAGCAATCCCTTCTTCTTGGTTTTTCCTTGCTTACTTATAGGGAGGTAGTTAAGATCTTGGACCACGGTAACTGA